GGAATGTTACCTTAAATTATAAAATTAATTTCACTATCCTAGCTACAATAGAAATATCCAAAGGCAAACATATATCAGTTATACCAATATTACCGTACGGATAATTATCAATACCAATGTCTAAAGGGTTTATGAATTGAATCACATTTTGAAGATATTTCAGACATAATTATTACGTGACATATGGATGACAAACACTAGCCATACATTGTATATCTCAATGACTTATATATTTTCTATGCCATAAAATAATCGATAAATTAATTAACTTCTCGAAAGGCTTAGCATTCGTGTGTTTATTCACTATTGAACCATAAAAAAGCAAAATATTCTGTGTAATCAATGGATTTAATGTTTCTCTGCTATTCTGACGGTCTCTTTTACCTTTCATTTTAATGCAACTTTTGTTGCAATTTTATAATAGGAATCACAAATAATAACAATCATATTATACAATATGTTAATACATAGTATTTTGCAATAATATTATTAGATATATTATGTGTATAGTATGTCAAGCCATGAATTTTATACAATTTTCATATAAAATAATAATTACAACTAAAAGTATTCATTAGTGAATATTTAATCTCAATATAAACATAATGTTATTTTTGGGGCTAAAAACTGGAATTTGAAATCAGTTTTTCTGATAGAGTTTTATCTTATTTTTAAATGAAGTCTTATTTATACTGAAAAATGGAAAATAATTGTATTTTTGTTTTAGCAGTAAATGTATTAAAACTGCGATAAAACATGGTAAAAACAAATGTTGTGAGATGTAATACAATGCGTGAAATATAATACAGTATTGCATATGATTTATTACAAAAGATATATTCGGTGTTGTTTAATGAAAAATCTGAATGTTTTACTAAATATAGTTAAATATTTTCCAAATAGTTTTGTTTTAAAACCAAAATAAATTCCTATTTTCTTTGTTCATAACATAACGTACTGTGAGTTTAATATAAAAAATATTTTGTTTTATATTTGTTTAGTCTTTTAAAGCAACAAATGGTAAATATATTTTTGTTTTCTCTCTCTCTCTCTCTCTCTCTCTCTCTCTCTCTAACATAGATATAAGGCATTCTTTTGACACATCCAAAAGTCAGTCCCCATTAGATATAAAACTAAAATTTTTAAAAATTTTACAAATATTTCATTCACTATTATTTTTTCATATATTTATTTTGTTGCATAAATGTTGTGTAATACTAGTTGAGTGGGATTTTGTAGCATGATAATAGCGTATATTGAAGTTACTAGTTTATTTTAAGGACGTGGGTGCTCTTAACTTTACAATATAANCTCTCTCTCTCTCTCTCTCTCTCTCTCTCTCTCTCATTTCAAAACACTTTCATTGATTGTTTTCGTCATTTAGTAAATTTTTAAAATAATAATTATCAATATAAGTAACAAATTGACTACAATTAGATAGAATTGTAAGAATAATTTTACCAATAAATTATTAAAATTGTTTATAATTAAACGTAAATAATTTATAAAACAGAAATTACAACCTAACTACTAATTAAATTTAAATACACGTCTGATATATCAAATTTAGCAGACAATCTCTATGAGACAAACAACACATACAAATACTGGAAAAATCCTATTTGTATAATAAGTTTGTGTATAAATAAGTTATTTATATTTTTCTCTCTTTGCGAAAAATTGTATAAATAATTGAACGGAAAGTCAGTTTCTCATAAAAACACTGCTAATGAATACATAATGAATGCACTATTTATACAAATTTTATTCAATGCAAGTCTCGCCAAAAGTAATTGAAAGTGAATTTATATAAAAGTAAATCAAATTACAATCACATTTGTGTCGTACGAGAACTCGCTATAAGTATATAACGTTATAAAGTGTGTAATTAAATTAGCCGTCAATTCAAACGTCTAATTAACTGTAAAACTATTAATTAACCATGTTAAATTTGGTCCAATTTTAGGACTGTTATAAAGGTCGCGAGTGTCACAATGACTATAGAGGCTGTCTAGATGAATTATTAGGTATAATTTATATTGTAAAGTTAAGAGCACCCACGTCCTTAAAATAAACTAGTAACTTCAATATACGCTATTATCATGCTACAAAATCCCACTCAACTAGTATTACACAACATTTATGCAACAAAATAAATATATGAAAAAATAATAGTGAATGAAATATTTGTAAAATTTTTAAAAATTTTAGTTTTATATCTAATGGGGACTGACTTTTGGATGTGTCAAAAGAATGCCTTATATCTATGTTAGAGAGAGAGAGAGAGAGAGAGAGAGATGAAGTGACGAGAAGATTATGAATTGAGAAAACTTTTAAGACTTTGCGGAGGAAAGGGCTGAACGTATTGTGCATTCAAGTGGTTGTCAATCGATGAAAACGTTGGAGTTATAAATGAGTACTTAATAAGATTGAGACCAATATATCATAAAAGCATAAAAAAGGACAGAAAGCATACAAAAGTCTAATACAACTAATTCTCGATAAACACAGAGTTCTTGAATGCAAAGGAAATTAATTAAATATAAATAACTATTTCTTTTGCTAATTAAAGAGCCCAAGGGTTTCGTTATTCACATTGAAATACATGTGTTTTGACTTATAATTTATGAACATTTTGTTTGAATTCAATTAAAAGTTATTATTATTTTACCGGGAATTTTAGGCATGTTTTTATTGGTGGGAAAAATATCGATGCAATTCTTTATATTAATTAATAATAATTTAATTAAGTATTTTAATTGATAAATGGCTGATATATTTGTGTTACAAAATTTTAGCATTAATTAAATTGCAAAATTTATAATACTTTTTCAAAAAGTATGAATTTATATTTCAATTCAATAGACATTTATTATTGTTATTATAATTAGGAAAGTTTTTACCGATGTCTACCATATGGAGAGAGAGAGAGAGAGAGAGAGAGAGAACTTATAAACATGTAATTAAATAAATTAATGATTTAGTAATAACTTATTTACGTCTACATTGAATTGCAATTTTAGACGAAATTAAATTTTTTTGAACATAAGTTTGTAACGAGAATTAGCGAAATGTTTAGCGAATGAAGTCATAAAATGACCATGCACTGCACTGCCTTACAAATACACTATGTAATTATTTGTATTTATACACGAGCTGAGCAAATACATAGCAAAAAACACTCAACACTTTTTAATGATATAATGATTGAGTGTTAAGCAATCAAAACCTGTTATTTTCAATGAAGTCAAATATCTTCAGGAAATAACACCATATCATGTGTTTTGTACATACATTTCATATAATCAATACATTTTAGACGCCTTACAAACGCTAACATTTTATGTTAGGATATTTCCAATAAATTGTATTGTGTTTTGAAAATATGTAATAATTTTGTTAAATATATATTTTTAAGTTTTAGGCATTTCATAAAAATATTTTATTTGTGTCGATATTATACGAAATTGTGTACAAATGGATGAATTAATAATTGCATTCAATTGCCAGATATCGACTGACTTATTGAATCAACAATCGTGCGAAACATTTCAAAAAATATAATTTTCTCATTATTAGTGTGGCTTTTAATTGCATAAATGGACGGAACGGACACACATTTGAGACATTTAGGTATTTAATTAAATTCAATTAAATAAATATTTCAGACTATATTTTCATTTTCCAAAAAAATACGCCAACAGTTGTGGTATTATTAATATTATGCAAAAACATTGAAACAAATCAATTTTGCGAATCCTATGCTCAAAACTATAATAATATCGATTACGGTTTGCGACAAATCAAAGACAATCACAGCGTTTCCAACAGTTATCTATTCATTGATAATCACTATTGGGATCTCGATTTCAACGATAATATCGATGACCACAAGAAGACAGTGAAACTGTGGAGGACTGAGAGCCGACGATCGTTGCATTGGTTCGGCGGTCACTATTCAATGGCCATCGGCTTATGGAGACCGGGAAACCAAATCGAAACCTGTATTTTCGGACTCATTAATGTTAACTATTTTATCATTATAAATACATTCCCACTATAAATACTAATTCTTTGTGTATATTAATTGTTAACAATTTTTTGTTGTTTACCATTTAGGCCAACAAAACCATAATTGACTTTCGGGTACGGGTGGGACACTCGGGTCGGGAGCACAAAATCAAAGAGTACCAGAAAGTGATTGAGACAAACATCGAGTTTAGTGATTTCGATCCCACTATCGCTTATGTGCCAAATCGTGAACAATATTCGGGCAAATATGTTGTGTTTGTTGAACAAAAACAGTCGGATACCCAAACGTATCACTTAATTAGCAAAGTGTTTGAATTTGACGACAACTATATCGGCGCCGAAGTGTTAAATACTAGTCTCAGGCAAGAGTTGGATCCGACAGCTCTCCGATACTTAGACAACAAATTGGATGTCATGTCGATTACGGCTCAGGAGGACGAGACGGGCCAATACGGGCTGATCGTACTCTTCAGGTTCGACAATGTTAT